GATGCTAAAATATTTAAAAACAGGATAAGTATATATAATGACAAATAGTCTTTGAAAAAGACCAAACGCATGTAACAAGTATTGGATAGCTAAAGAACATTTGCGATTGTCTCGTTTCCTTACCATACAAAATAATCAGGCCTGTCGTTATAATTCCAATATTCCAAGTTACCAATAGGCTCGATCAATTGTGCTGGCAGCGAAATACGCCTGAAAAACCAAAGTGGGAATTCAATGTAGACGTTGGCTAACATTAAACATGAATGTGAAAAAAACACAAGCGGGACGACTTACATTGACACGATGTCTTTTACGCCGATAAACTTTTTCAATAATCCTAACCAAGTGGCAAATTTGCTGTGATGGTCTGGATCGTGCTCGGAATCTTTATGACATGTGGTTATGATTTTTGAATGTCTTTCGGAAATGAGTTTGTCGAGATCATGATCCACGCTGTTGTCAGAGTTGACGGAAGCTGTGGTCAGTGTTGTGGAAATAGTGGACGTCTCATCTCTCAAAGTGGAGTCGTCTGAAAGGTTGCTGCTTGAAGCCGAAGCGATGGATTCGGAAGGTTTCATAGTGATGTATATAATATGAAAATTGGCAAAGATGGCAAAGAATGTAGGCTGGGCGAAGTGAACAGTCGAGAGTATATATAGTAATTAGACAGAGGTTTCCATTGTTCAGCCGTATGGCAAAATTTAGAAACAGTATTACAAGAAAAAAGTTTTTGCTGTCCATTTGGAGGCCGACACAAGTTTCATGTTAATTTGTATAAAAAAACTGTATTAATAATCCGTCCCAAGGTAAATAATGTGACACAGAAGGGTAAGTGGCAAGTAACAAGTAACGGTAGGGTGCTAATCATAATACTAAAAAGGAAATATGCGTGGGATAATGAATTTTACTAAACTATATCGTCATAGCAATTTGATTAATTTGATGGTTTGACTATTTGGGGGGGGCAGTTTTCAACCGATTGTCGTTATAGTTTCTACATTCACGGTAATCATTGCCTTTTGAGCGAGTCACAATTAAAGTTGATCGAAAGTGGGCCAAACGTGGCTTTTCTTACAATTGCAACGATTACCATACGGAGAATATGCGAGTAATTATTAAAGATAATATGTGAAAGCTCGTTTTACCTCACAGCATCATTTTTAATATTGACATTAAACTATGCCATATACCATTGAAATACACGATTACTAATGGTGATATTATTGTTAATATGTTAAATAAATACTCTGTTATTCGAGTAGATTCAAAGAGGTCTTTCTAATTAGAAATTAACAAGATTAATATCAACAGAACAACCGTATTAATATGCTTATTTATTTACGTAAACAGGGGGTCTGTGATTCAGTGGCATCTGTAATGAGTATTATCTCAGGTGGGTAATTAACAACAAATTAAAAGTTAACTTCCCACCCCTCTTAAATTTACACGTGTGTAGTAATTGGAACGGATTACTAAGACAACATGCCCAAGAACTGGGAACAAGCAACTTATTTTAGCAATTGGCAACCAAAAAAAGCGATTGTGACAAAATCTAAATGGTTTACAATTATCATATGAGAATGCCAATTGAATTAGAAGACAAGAATAAAGAGCCTATTATTATTTGGACCAAATTAGAATTAACTGCAACAGGGTCCATTTACAATAAGTAAGAAAAGACCATACCATACTTATAAATCACCATCGTCAATAACGGATCAGCATGCGGCAACCTTTCAGTTAGCGAATCACAAATAAAGTTTTTGACAATAGATATTCGAAACTATTATTGATATAGTAACTATTTTTAAGGGGTAGCAACAACCAATGGGCTGTCATCGATATGTAAATTAGGACCTAAGTACGTAGAATGTCACAATCGAAACACCCGACCTAGAAAAAGTAGTAAAGGCACAGTTTAGTTCTCTCTCCAAAACTGCAAAAGAATCTGCGAAAAACCTCTCAAAGACCCCCTTGCATTTACTACTTGAAACGACCGTTAAATTATCAGGTATATACCGGTGAGTATTATTTTCTAATTACGTATGGCAGAACGACCCTTTCTAGTCATAAAGTATCAAACTCTGCTGGGCGACCACGTAAGTTTTTCAGTGGTCTAGAGCTTTTCGAAAGCAAATGCTTCCACGTTGAAAGACTTTTGTCGTTCTATGCAACTATAAAAGTCAGCAAATAAGTCCTAGTCCTTTGGCTACGTTAGTTGAAGTATTCAAGTGTTTACAAGTCATATCAATATTGTGCAATCATAATCAGCAATTTATCCCGTCGAAGTATCCTAAACCTAACCCTAACCCTCTAATTGCACACCCTCCAAAATGCACACCCTTCCTAAATGCATGCGCGTGATTAATATCTGTATTGACCAATCAGATTATTTGTAAATAGAAATTTAACTCGCATAAACGATGGTCACTAAGAAGGGAAAAGTGTTGTTTACGTCAAATTAATCTATGCGTCTAAAAA